CCATTCTACTTCACCTTTACGACCATCCACAGCTTTCGGAACGCCCACACTTTCTAACTTCTAGCAAAAGAGATTGGCTCAAATACAGGAAGTACATAAGCTCTCATATTGATAGCTGTCCAAACATTAATTGTAAAGATGACATTGATAGGTCAGTGGAGGAGTGGGATCGCAGCAACAAAGAGAAGGCAAATACATTTGCCGTCCATTTAGAAAACGTCTTCAAACCACACCCAGAAACAAATAGCTTTGTGCTCCCACCAACCAACAATCCCGAAGCTACTCCGCCTATCATATTCCAATCAGGAGAAGTCACAAGGATCATTAAAGACCAAATCTCAAAGCAAATGAAAGCTCCGGGCCACGATTTCATCTCCCCTAAAATAATCTTAGAATTACCGAGCTATGCAGTGTATTTCCTTACTGTGATATTCAACAGCATGATGAAATGGGGCTATTGTCCTCAAGAATGGAGGAAATCAGTCAACACAATGATCCATAAAGCCGGAAAAGACAAGTCCAAGCCATCATCATATAGACCTATCAGCCTAGTGATTTGCCTATCAAAGATATTTGAAAAGCTGCTCCTGAATCGTATCAAGCAACACCTACACATCAACGGAGCCATCCCGATTCACCAATTTGGATTTCGCGAAAAACACGGAACCATTGAACAAGTAAACCGTATAACCTCTGCGATACGAAATGCATTTGAAAGACGGGCCAAGCTTCAAGCCCATCCTAATAGACTTGCGCAGTCTTTAACTTGGCACACTAGCCATACACGACTCCGGCAAAGAGACCTCCCCACCCAGCAATAATACTTAGCTAGGGACGTACTCTAAGTAATTAAGTGTAATTAATTAAATAAATATATTAGGTTAAGATTTGCATACTTGTCGTCAGTCTCTAATAGGGAAGATTCGATAAATAAAATCCCGTAATAATAATAAAAAAAAAAAAAAACTGTATTGGATCGAACGGGTAGGCTATCTAAAAAAGTCCGCTGCTTTCGTAAAAAGTCGAGTTTACGAAGCTTAATAACCTCACTAGGGATGTTGATTGGTCCTCTTTGTACTTGTGCACTGACGTTATGAACGGCACAAACATTTTTTACAATGTACTTGAGACACTTTTTGATTCTTGTGTCCCACTTTCTTGTCCGGTTAGATCTGGGAAGCCTCCTTGGTTTACCAAAGAGTTATCCAGTCTGAAAAAATTTAAAAACTATAATAAATTTCAAGAAGTTGGTTCTAATTATTCTCTCTCTCGCTATCTAGTAGCTCGGTCAAATTTCTCCGTTCTTAACGCTGAGTTCTATAAAAACTACCCATATCGATGCAGGATACGATTTTCACAGGACCCTGAACAGTTTTATAGCTTCGTAAATAGTAAGCGTAGAACGTCCATATGTCAGCAAACAATGATCAGGCAATTGCCGATCTTTTTGCCAAATTTTTTAAAACAACCTATTTCTACTCTGGTTAGCCGTATCCATACAGTTTACCAAAGTCGAATGGCATTTTCAGCCCCTTGTTAAATGAAAGCTCACTGCTTCATGATCTTCGTCTAGTTAAGCTGGTGTTTTCACCAGGTCCTAAAAGAGTTCTCGGCTGTGTACTCAGGTACTGTTCCGACGCTCTGTGTGGAGCCCTGCTTAAACTATTCACCCTATCCATTAACTCTTCATGCTTCCCCCCAATCTGGAAGGAATCTTTTATTATTCCGCTGCATAAGAAATGTAGCAAGTCTGATGGAAAAAATTATAGAGTTATATCTAAGTTATCCGCTATTCCTAAAATGTTTTGAACAAATTTTAACTCTGCATTTGCAACATCTCTCCAAATCACTTAAATCTCCATCTCAGCACGGATTTATAAGGCGACGATCAACTACCACAAATTTATTAGAGTTTCCCTCTTTATCATTAAAGTCTTCCAAGGTAACTCGCCGCATTCGATTCTGTAAACCATTTCCTCCTATCACACAAAATTTCGACCTTTTAGGGTTTCCGCCTAATCGTTTGGGATGGATTTCTAGCTACTTTCGTTCTAGGTCTCAAAGAGTCCTCTTCAAAAACTCCTTCTCTTCACCTGTTAAGGTTACTTCTGGAGTACCACAGGGCAGCCATCTAGGCCCCCCACTATTCACACTCTTTATTAATGACCTACCTTCAGTATTAAGAAACTCTCGAGTACTCATGTATGCGGATGATGTTGAACTCTGTGTCCAGTAAAGGGACATTTCATTTCACTCTCGCTTGCAATCCGATCTCAATAACTTTCAGTCATGGTGTTGTGCAAATATGTTAAACCTAAATGCCTCGAAATGCAAAGTAATGACATTTCATCGCTCCAGCCATTTGTTGGCATCTTACCCTCGTAGATTTCTTTTAATAAACCTTCCAACCTTATAGCCTTTTCCAACACAGCACATCTATGAGGAACGGTGGGAATTTTTGACAGATGTGAAACTCCGATTTCCACTGGCACCATCCACCATCCATGAAAACAGCTGATGCACACAATTTGGTGCGGCGGAAAATTTGTTTACTTTTATAATTTAAATGAATATGAATAATATTGCAATGGTTGTGAATATGATTCAGCAAAACATATTCTTGCAAGAGCCATGTAATCATGTTGCTGGACATGGATGATGATAATGCGGCTAACATTGACGATATATATGTTTTAAAAACACTGAAGCGTTGTCATTTGTGACTGCTTCTACTAAATCCAATCAATGTTTTAAATAAAACTACATATTCTATGTTTTCTGAGAAGTGGTTTGGGACATTTTGGGAGCCATATCATTGTATTTTTGGGCTCTTTTTCTGAGTACAGAATAGTCGGAAGGCTGTCAGCCAAAAGCGAGTGCCATATCCTGCATGAGTTTTAAAAAGCATTCATAAAAGAATTCCCAAAGGATAGTCCACATACCGAGTTTTTGTGCCTGAGACAATTCTGACATATCAGATGTTTTGTTGTTGTTTTTTATCATTTTCCTGTCTGTCATTGATTACATTTTCGTAGTAAACTCCGATTTTTTGTTGTGAATGTCAAATATTTATGGTTGCATTTCACAATTACCGAGAAAATACCGCAAAGAAACGTGCAAATTAGGGACATCCCAGATGTATGGTGGAATAGTTGGGCAATTTTCGGAACGGCAAAACCTTACGGACCATCCCCGAAATGGATGGTGTATGGTGGCCTGTTGGAATAGGCTATTAGTTAGTCGTAGAAAAATGTGTTGAGCTAGCGAGCTTTTTCACTAGCGTAGTATTGCTATATGTTTATTAACGAGACGATGGTTGTTTAGATTAAATATGGTTTATTGTTGTAAACAGTATAAAGGCGATGCAGAGTCAAAGAGATAGCGAAAGGTTCCAGTTAGATTGATGACGAGTCGGTTGGAGAGTTAGCTGGATTCAAGACGGGGTCAGATTGTAGACGCGGGGGTCGGTACAAGACGGTGTCGGATTGAATAGCTCGATTCCAAGACGATGTGCAGTGGTTGCTAGATCCAGACTAATTCAAAGGGCAGGCGGGCCGAATTGCCCGTGCCCTAATGCGAGCGAGAGAGCGACAGATCGAGAGAGTGATAGCGAAAGGCGATAGAAAGACATTGTGAGTTGAAGATGCGAGAGAACGGCGGCATAGGCTGCTGCCGTGCGGGAGCATGAATATGTACATATGTATGTAGATGACAAAGTTAAGCAGTGGGCAGTAGAAATGCTGAACAATAATTGATATTTACTCTACTGTTGCACCACGGACTATGATGTACTGATTATTTGGCTGCGTAACCAAACAAAATGCTTGGGGTGATTTTTATGCACAACCTTGACTTGTTGAGCCGCATAAGCTTTACGATTTCTATTAGATCTACTAGAAACTTTATTCCTTTGTTCCTTCCACTTTGTAGATCAAATTATTCCTAGTATGAACCGTTTAGGGTCCTAAGCTCGGACTTCAACTCCCTTTACCATATAATATCCATCATTAATTGCCTTCCTCTTCTTAAATGACTAACACTAGTTCTAGCACTTTGAGTTGTGTTTAGTTCTAATTTCCCAAGAATTTTAGTCTTACGCCTATCCTTCCTGCATGCTCGCGATCGGTTCGGTAACACGCGTTGCGCGTCATGCGGCAGCGCCCCTCGGTCGGTTGGGCGGGAGGAGGCGCTGCGTTTCTGCCTGGGTTCCGCGCGTAACAGACTTCTCCTTGGTGTCGCATGGGCCACTTGATGGTGCAGTCATTGCATATCAACGTCCAAACAAAATTCAGATCAACCTGCGCACTTCCCTACTAGGCTTTATGTAAAAGTTTTTTTGGCAAATGTTCGATATACGGGCCTATTCCCCTAAAATCGCGAATAAAAATATACTGTCTATGGACCGCGATTTATCAAGAATTTACGTACAGAAATGGACGGAAAATGTAGCGCGTACTGAGTACTAGCCTTAATGTCACGTTACTCGGTACTCTATTTCGCTATAATATTATATTAACTGCTAATGAATTATAGCTAATATTTAAATACTAATTCAAATTTTGTTGTATTATTTTTACATTTTGTTCTTCTTATAACTGCGGCAGCACTATTTTGTCTGCTTTTCGAGTTGTATTGACTGTTATCGGGTGCAAATATAGGAAACAGAGCATTTTCTTTCTAAATTACTCGCTGCTACCTTAAGAGTTCTAAGACATGCCCAAGAGAGTTATTAGCTTTATTGATTCATCCAGAAAGTCCTTAAGGATAATACCAAAAAATAGCCTATGATCACGGTGACAAGTAACAATAAGAAATTTTCAATTAATTTATAATTATAGTTTAATTATAATTATACACTATACCTTTTACTTTATTTTACAATAATAATATTTTCGTTTAGTGTTAAGAACAAAAAACTGACAGTACATAAAATACAAACAGTAACTGCCAAATTAGCAAAGATGGATTGAATAATTATTAAAATATTGCTGATCTTCTGAATCTTGGCGCCACAGTTTGTACCCAAAGACAACAGAAAAAATGACTTGGTATGTGCAGATATATTTCGATTTATATATTTGCTGAAGACTAATTCCAAAGATGTACAAAAAATTACCGGAAAAAATACACTGCCTTCTGTGTAAAAAGCTAATAAGTATCCCAGGCATGATGATAAAAATATATGACCTTTTCTTTTTATTATCATATTTGATTTTCCAGTATTAGAAAATTTACTATCAGGCAAAAAAATACGTCCACTTTGGATATTTGGTTCAACCTCTGGATCGGAATATAGTACAGTTGGTGTTCCATTGTCTGAAAGAAAAAATCGAATTTAATATTAGGATTTATATTATCCCTGGCCTCGCGAATAGATGGTTATATCAGTTCAGTGTGTTTGAAGAAAAGGTTGTATAAATCATAGAGGTCCATTTTGTCCCCTTTTTGCCACTTGCCAAACGTAAATTTCGGGCTTATAGTGGCAAAGTTTTGTGTTTTTTATAAAAAAAGGACAACCCAGATGGACAGGGCGGTTATAATAACTACCACCATGACCTACGAAAGGAGGAATGTGCTTCAAGTCTTTTGACTGTGGTTTTCCACAGTTGCGCAGGTGGCATTATGGTGTGGGGTGCGAGTTCTTATAATGGGACTTGGGAGCGACAGGTACTTTGATCAAAAATGATTGCAGATGTGTAAAAAACTGTTATGCAAAAGGTTTCTCATATTTTTAAGAATATTTTTGGACCGAAAACATGGTTAGTGGAAGTGGATACATGAGCAAAATGTGGACTTGCTTGAAAGGCCGTACACTCTGGACTTAAACATTGTGAAACCAATTTAACGGCAAAAATGTGAAGGAACACAAGTTCAAACGAGAAGGAACGTTGCGAGTCGCTTCTGTGGACGCGTCTCTACTTTTATACCCGTACTCAGTATATACATTTTTTAGCTTATGTATGTAAAATATGTCATTATGTCATTATATAAATATGTGAGATTATGTATATGATTATGATTATATGTAAGTACATATGGGCATTTCTCTGACGAGGTCCACCGAGACAAAAAAATGTAATGTCTATAAAAACACATTTCCATATAATTATGTTGCGATATTATAGTCTAAATTAAATGAACGACAACTAATTTCCCCAATTGACATTAAATTTCAATAATTTTGACGGAAAACCTATTCAAATAAGCAAAAATTTCCTTTTTTGGTATTTTTTTTTGCTTTAGCGATTTTTTCTATTACTATTATCTTATATAAAAAAGTGCATTCTTGGGAAAAGTTTTTTCCATAATCTTTCTAACGTATTGGACTATCTTAAAAAAATACGAGAAAAATGCTTTAATCCCGGCTAATGGTATATTTTTAAATGTTATTAACCAAGGAATTTTTGTCCCGTGCGACATGTCCCGTGCGAATATGGTATTAATTAAATTTAAAAATAAATGTAAATTATATTTGCGTATAATTATTACCATTTTTAAGAGACATCCATGCACAACATGTACTGAAATTTGCATCAACATATGGCCTCAACTTTCGCTGAAATCTGAGTTTGAATAGATCGCCGCGAAAATCACTTCCATATTTGTCCCGTGCGAATGGCTCGGTTTTTTGACAAAATCTCGAAAAAGAAAAGTGGCCCAAAATCGACCTCAGCACCACTTATAGACCTAGTCCAGAGGTGTATTATAAAGCTAAAACGATTTTGAAAATCCGTCTTACTGTGTCCTTTATACCACTTGAAATGTGTACGAATATCCCGTTCGACTTCAGAGAAATGCCCATATGTGGAAATTTTAAATATTTTACATTTAAAATTTTGTTGCTACATCGTACGACAAAATATTAAAAAATATAGTCAAAAATTCAACATTTGTAAAAGGGATTATCCTTGTTGAATATGAATTGGTTAGGCCTATATTCACCAAAAATTTGGCAATTATTGAGCGTACGGTTTTAAAACTATAAACCAAAATATCACCTAAAATTGCGTTACATAAAACAGAAGTTTTCGAGGTTAGGGTACAACGTGGAAAAACTCTGCGAATTGGGTAGGTATATAAATACAAATACAACTGTATGCATGTACTATGTGAAATATGTAGTGTTAATTTTCAAAGTCATAAAATGTCAAAACCTTCCCTGTTTTTTTTGCTATAAGTCGGCGGAGGCATCTGACGAACGTTACTGGCGTGACGTTACCAAATTCCAATTAATAAACTCCTAAAAATATACTGTTAACCGAGTTTGGGCATAGAAAGACTTTATGGAAAACATTTTTTCAAGAATCATATTTTTCCTAGGAGATAATAGTAAAAGAAAACATGTTCATAAATACCAGAAAATACCAAAAACGTTAACTTTTGCTTATTTTAATAGGTTTTTGCATTAAAGTAATGAAATTAAATATCATTAAAATAAATTAGTTACAGTTCAATAAATTTAGAAAATAATATACCGAAATAATTATATGGAAATCGAGTTTTATTGAATTTTCATGATTTTTGGCCTTTTGGCGGAACTGCCCATATACAATGTATATTCTACATCTAAAATGTATATACTGTATCTACAATGTAGATTTTACATCTTCTCCACGAAAGGTCGCGCACTGCACAGAGCAAAGTTTGTGCGATCGAGAAAGAGAATAAGTTGCGTCTCTTGTGGGGAGGGGTAAGCAACTGAAAATTAATTACTTCATTCTGACTAAAATAATGATCCGATCTAAGGCAGATTTGGCAATCTGGTAGATATGGTAAATTTTCTTCAAAATTGTGGCTGTCACAAATTTTCGTCTATTGTGGGGGCGGAAGGGGCGCGGCGAAATTTCGAAATACACTTGTAGCAGTGTGATATCACATGAGTCTGGAAACAAAATTTGGTTCCTCCAGCTTTTATAGTCTCTGAGATCCAGGCGTCAAACAAGACGGACGGACAGACGGACAAACAGACATGGCTCTATCGACTCGGCTATTGATGCTGATCAAGAATATATATACTTTATGGGGTCGGAAACGTTTCCTTCTCTGCGTTACACACATCCACTTTTACCACAAATCTAATATACCCCTTAACTCTTTTTGAGTACGGGTATAAAAACGAAATTTCGAGTTTGACCGTTAATTACGCCCCTTCCAGTGACACGCCTACTTTAATTTTTCTTTTAAAAAATTATTTTAAGTATTGCAAATATATGTATTAAATTTCAGACTTATGAATTATACCTAGCCGGGTTCAAAAGTTATTAATTTTGCAACGTGTTTTGAGAAAATGAGCCACTGTGCGGCGTATATCTCTATATCATCATTTTTCCGTCAGGACCATCAAAGTTGAACTTTTCTTCGTCACTGTAGCTAACGCTTTCCCATTCATTTGTTCCTTAGTAGAAGCATATGTTTGCGTACCATTTTTTCATATTTAATGTTATTATCAGAACTTAATATTTGCTGAATACGACGAGGGCTGATCTTACGAGACAGTTAGCCTTTATATCCCGTGAACTAGTCGCTGTATTTACAGTTAAACTCTTTATTAGTCGTTTTGTTCGATCAGACACGGGGCAAGGTCGGCCCCTTTTTATTGTTTTATTATATGCTTCCGGGTTTTTTACAAATTTTTGAGCAGTATTCTTACTAATTTCTGCCATATTGGCTATTTCGCGAATATTTTTGCCTTCCTTGCGCAGATTAATAATAATATTTTGCATACTCTCCGACAACTTAACTCCATTCGCCATTTTTACCGTCTTTACGTATCGTACTGTATTAAATTGACATTTTTTAGTCTTAGATAATTCAATTTATTTGTACACAGATAGTAAGAATAAAATACTCACCTTAATTTACGAAAAACTTAAATAAAAATTCAATTACAAACGACCCTAAAAGCGAGACTCGAGTCGAGCAGGTACATGTTTTGGCGGGTGTTTTGGTTGTTTACCATGATCTACTGAGAGCATTGTTAACAAATTAAACAGATTTTAGAAATTTCGAATAGAAATATATTAATTAACCCATCTTATTTCAGAGGCTATTCAGTATGAGTGCCCGGAATGAGCAAGACGGCCTTAGGAACATGAGCACATCAACAAAACTAACGAGAAGGAACGTCTGAGTCGCTTCTGGGGACGTGACTCTACTTATACCCGTACTCAGTCAGTATATAACATTTTTCAGCTTATGAATTTTTAGAATTTTAGAATTAAAAAAAATTTTACATTTTACATTTTTTTGCTACATCTGTTATCTGCATCTAAATCTACACTGTATATTCTACATGTACCATTTAGATTCTACACCTCCTCCGCTAGGGGTAGCGAGAGAGAAAGAGAATGAGTAGCTGAAGTAGACGGGGGAAGCAACTGAAAATTAATTTCTTCATTCTGGCTATAATTATGATCCGATCTGATTCAGATTCGGCAATCTGGTTAATATGATCATTCTCTACGATACTGCGTTTTTAGTTTTATCGTATCTTTAAAATTGTGGCTGCCACAGATTTTCGTCCTTTGTGGGGGCGGAAGGGGGCGGGGCTAAATTTTGAAATACACTTGTAGCAGTGTGATATCACATGAGTCTGGAAACCAAATTTGGATTCTCTAGCTCTTATAGTCTCTGATATCCAGGCGCTCATCGAGACGGACAGACGGACATAGCTATTTCGACTCGGCTATTGATGCTGATCAAGAATATATATATACTTTATGGGGTCGGAAACGTTTCCTTCTCTGCGTTGCACACATCCACTTTTACCACAAATCTAATATATACTCATTTTTGAGTACGGGTATAAAAAGGTTCTGTGGCAAAAAAGAAAACACAGAACAAAAATTGTAATCTACATTTGCATAGGAAAACAATAGATAAAATTTGTTATCTCATTTTTTTTGTTCAGAGGTAGTGCTTCTATTTTTCACATAACTTAAGTATCTTATATCTGGTTGCATAGAACTTTGCAGTTCTGAAAAGCTGACAAGTGCAGCTATAAATCCGACTTAGACACTTTAAGCTGCAGCTTAACGTCTTGAAGATATTAAGCTTTCAAATTCAAATTTGACGATTTTTTTTGCGGTATTTTTCCCTGAAATTTTGATTTTAGAAACTCCGGAAACGTAGAAAAGAAATATATTTCTTGGCATGAAAATGGTTTTAGATAGACGCATTAATTAGGCTTCGTTTAATGTATCGTTTGTAAAAATCGATGGATAAACAGTTGCAGCCGATTGACTAAAACGACTCAAAACTCATTTTACCTGAAAAATACCGTCCGTTATGGTCCAACTTCCCATAAGTAGCTGAGATATCATGCAACCCACACAAACATCAGTTATTTTCAGTTAGTTTTAATAAAATAAAGAATATTTTAATTAAGTGTTATGTTACTACAATATTTTTAAGATTAGTGATAAATTGGCTTTGTTACTGCTTTTTACTATTTCTAAAATGGTAACTTGGCTGTATTCCTTTGTCATTAGAATCAAGATTCCCTTATGAGAGTCGACACATAGTCGCCCAACATATTCTCATTCCGAACACCTTGATATCGTCGTTCCATAGCTTTTAATTGTTGTTGAAATCTCTCTCCGTGTTCATCACTAACGTCCCCTAGGTTTGTCGGAAAAAAGTCTAAGTGGGAGTGCAGGAAATGGATTTTGACAAGTTAGCTCCAATTTTTTCATAATTCCTAATTAGGTCTTGAACGATATTAACCTAATCATCACTCTTGCTGTTACCAAGAAAATTTGTTGTAACCAGTCATACCAGGCTGCTTTTCCATTCGTAGATAAAATATTTTCAAATCCATCAACTTTTAGTAGTTTAAGAATTTGGGGGCCACCAAAGACGCCTTCTTTAACTTTTGCCAGCGACAGACGTGGAAAAACAGTTTTTAGGTAACTCATCGATTCACCTTCCTTATCCAGTGCTTTAACAAAATTTTTAATTGGTCACAGCTTAATGTGTAATGGTGGTAAAATAGCGTCGTTCCTCCCGTTTTGGCTAGAGTTTTCTAGAGTAATGCTAAGTTTTAGCTCTGCTATCCCACGACTTTTAAGTCCCACGCGACCTTCCACTGTTTCCATTGTGTAACAAAACAGTCTTTAAACTTTCCTTATGAGTTATTTTGACATCTTCCTTCAATAAAAGGACATCCTTTAACAAAGATCCAAGAAGATCGGCTTTACTTTTAGGAATATCCAGGATCCTCACCAAATCGTTCAATTCTTCCTGTGAAAGAGGCTTGCAATATTTATATTCTCCTGATTGGTCATTACTTAAATCTGTTGTTTCGTTGTGGCGTTATTTCCTCTAAAGGAGGAGCAGGATGCGTAAAGCCTTGACTAGGTTGTTTCGGGTAAGCCCATTTCATGGATCTCCCGATTCCAGTTATTTTGAATGAACAAAATAAACATTCAGAGCCGTGAATCTCTGGTTTTCTCAACAGCATTGGAGTAAAAGTAACTGTCCACAACATTTACAGACCAAATGGATATGATCAGGTATGGTATATCCGAGATATATCCATATGGTATATGGTATGGTATATATCCATACCTAGGACTCGGTAAAACCAAAATTACAGGTCCTTTTTGTTTCCTGCAATCCCATTTTGGCTGTTGGACCCGTAATGTACCGGACGGTATTTTTTCAAGTAAAATTACTTTTGAGTCGTTTTGGTCAAACGGCTGCGACTTGGCCGTTTATCCATCGATTCCTACAAACGACGCCTAAATAATCCGTTCATCTAAAACCAAATTCATGTCAAGAAATATTTTTTTTCGACTTTTTCTGTGTCCATCGTATGACAGGTCATAGCTTATGTCATCGAGCTGCATGACGTTGCCATCGATGTGTGGTTTCTCACACATCGCTGACCCGTACTGCAGGGCATCTAAAAAATCCAATATACCCTACCCCAATACTCATGGAGTACCAGGAATCCATAAAATGAAAAAAATTTTCATATTTTCCTGAATGGGTTCAAGCTTTTTTGTCTTATTTGTTTTGACGTTTAATTTTTTATTTTTTTCCAAAGTAAGTATTTTGTTTTGTTAATACAATATATTTTACAAAAAAAAAAAACTTTTAATAACACTAGTCAACACGATTTTTCCACAAGGAACAAAACGAACTTTTTCTTAAAGATTTGGGGCTTAGAAATGTTTTTATGATATTTTTTTTTCTATGGCAGAACTTTTTTTTAAAGAATTTTTGAAAACGGGTATTTTTTTAAGCTTTTTTCAGAGGTAGCGCTTTTTTTCACATAACTCTAGTATCTTAAGTCTGGTTGTAAAGAACTTTGCTATTTTGAAAAGATAATTAAAACAGCTAGAAGTTAAGCCTAAACACTTTGTGAGATCAGCTTACCATCTGGGAAATATAAAGCATTGAAATGCAAAAATGATTTTTGTGCGGTATTTTTTAACGAAATTTTTACTTTAAAAACTCAGGAAAAGACGAAAAAAATTATATCCTCTGAATCCGCTGAATACGCTACTTAAAAAATTCTTCAAAAAAAAGTTCTGCCATAGAAAAAAACCATAATTATTTAAAAAACTGTAAAGCCCCATATCTATCGGAAAAAGTTGGTTTGGATCCTTGAGGGAAAAAAAAGTTCGATTTTGTCGAGTAGTGTAATCTGCGACTGTTACGTAACACTAAAAATTGCTGTTGAATTGCTATTTCATTCCAGAGGTAGTCAACATTTTAATACCCGTACTCAAAAAGAGTTAAGGGGCATATTACATTTGTGGAAAAAGTGGATCTGTGCAACGCAGAGAAGGAAACGTTTCCGACCCCATAAAGTATATATATTCTTGATCAGCATCAATAGCCGAGTCAATATAGCCAGGTCCATCTATTCGTATGTACGTCCGTCCGTCTTGATGAGCGCCTAGATCTCAGAGCCTATAAGAGCTAGAGAAACCAAATTTTGTTTCCAGAAATTTTACATACATAAGCTAAAAAATGTATATACTGAGTACGGGTATAAAAGTAGAGTCGCGTCCATAGAAGCGACTCAAACGTTCCTTCTCGTTTTAATCTTCAGAACGCGGTTTTAATTACACACTAAAAAAAAAATGACCATATCTGTCAAGAGCAGTTGGGGAACCCATATGTTTTTTGGATCGCTTATAAATATGTATACACATGTATGCACATAAACATATCATGGTGATGTACTATAAAAATATTACCGGAAAGATCCGTTTCGCGTGAATTAGCTCTGCCATTTAATTTTTCAAGACGTTTTTTTGCCTCATCCAATACTTTCTTTCGGCGAAGATCGCGTCTCAAATTGGTATTATTTGTACTGGTTTCATCATGAATTAAAGGGTCCATTTTGAGCTATATGAATTTCAACTTTTTTGTTACCAATGCGACTAATAGTGTGACCGTGGATTTATCGATAAGTAATACCGTCAGACCCTCAGAAATATACTGAAATCTCATTCTCAATATATCAGCCTAGTAGGCACAGCACACTGAGAGCATCTCGGGGGAACGGTGAGATTTTGAACAAATGTATACTCCTGTTCACATTTCCACCATCCATGGAATAATATGAATAATATTTTCGATTCCCACCGCTATCATGGACTGGGCAATCTCCATATTAACATAGGATTTCATACTACGTCCAAATCCTCAATACTCTCCTGCCAAATATTAATCAAAGCACCACTTCAACCTGCAGCTTGTTGTTTTTCTAATTTCTGTAAACTATAATGCATGGCAATAAAAAGCAAATACATATATCCATTAAACATATTATATATAACATTTTCGTTTCCTTCCATTTTTATATATTCTAAAAAAAATAACGGAAACAACTGTTGGACTGTGTGTTATTTTTTTCCATTACTTCTTGTCATTTACTGTTTACATTTTCGCTGTGGAAATGATCGAAAGAATACAGCATGGAAACGTGCGAGCTAGGAACATCCCAGATGGATGGTGGAAAACTGTGAAGTTTTCGCATCGGCATACCCGAAATGGATAGGCTCCAGTGTGAAAATGCTATAGTATCAAAGACTATAAAATAAAAAGATGTTGCATGAGAAAGTACGTTTTTTTCGTTCTGAAAATTTCTAACATGCACAGATAGCTGAGAAATAGTACTAATTACGGGAAAGATATGCTAGTTATTGGAAGCAACCGAGCAACTTCGGCAACTCTGACTCCACATTTACAAATTATATACTCCGTTGGTAAATTTAATAATTTAATAATTTTTAATTAGCTCTTGCTTAAGTCGATCGCCTTTTCACCTCGATCTTGCATTTTCTGCCTTTTTTCCAATTTAATTCAATATTAATTACAACTAATCGTGTACATCTTTAAACTCATCATAATTGATATTTCTTTGTTCCTATTAGCTGTGTTTCGCTAGTTAACAATTGAGTTAATGATAACTTTATATTCCGAACGTGAAACAGACTTGCGCAAGCAATTTGTTAGTGCTTTTATCCATTCCGATTTGGATCATTGCTCTCTGTGCTCACGCTCTGGAGAGCATGGTGCAAGCTCTCACTCTCAATTGCTCTCACGGTGTCTCTGCTTTCATGAGCTTTACCGTTTGTTTTCGTCACTTCGCTGAATCGTCTGCCGCTGCTGCTGATCGTCGCTCGCTCTGCTGCCTGCTCTTTTATTTCGCTTGTGCTCCCCCTTTGCGTTTTTCTTCGAGCACAGTGATTCAACTGCTGTCAAAAATTATTATAGTCTGCAGTGCAAAGAAATGCGAATTCGGTGGCAACATAGTCGGCGATTCATTCCTCAGCTCCTGGATATGCGACAATGTCGCCCATATAAAATGTTCTGTTGGTGGTAATTTTGGACGGCTACACGATCTCATCTCAAAACGTATGGGTCTGACTTGGTAATGTTTGGCCTGCCGGATGATTGAGGGCGAAATGCAAACATTTATAAGACAGACTCGTACTAGTTGTCAGGATGTCCGGAAGCAATTTATCGCTCTCAACGAGAAGTTCCTGACCCTGAAATCACAATTCCTTGGCCTCAAACTCTTGAGTAAATCTCCTAGACGGAAAAAATTCCTCATACCGATAACAAAAACCTCTTGTAACCTTTTGGAGTTGGGGCGCCTGCTTCACATCTACATACATCCGAATTCTTCGCTACTCCGAGCGGTCATGCCTCGCCGTCAGTCAATCCGCCATCAGTTGCTCCGGTGTTTCTTACACCGAATATCCATGAAGCAGTTACTACTACGTTCGGAATCACTGTCGCCACCGCTGTGAGTGCTCCCAGTGGGAGTGCTTGCTGCTGATTATGTCCGCACTGTTCCTGTCACCGGTCCTGTTCCTTCCGTTGCTAGCGACGCTGCCATCGTTTCTGCCACGAGATCTCTTTTGGGAGTGGCCCCACATGCTCTCTCTCGCTCGGGACTTCAACTAAGAGCAGTGGTACCTCGAAAGGCTATCTTTGTTTCCCGTCTTATACCGAAGGCTAGAATAGAGGATGTTAAACAACATATGACATAATTGTGACCAAATTAATTCTTAGACATAAGCGCAATATTTCCGCCTTTAAGATTCTTCTTCCTGATTCTTTACTATCTAGATCTAGATCTAGAAAATACAATTATGCATGAGTTCCTACATAAAGACTCTATCCAGAGTCATAATATTACCGTCCCTGGTAGTTCAAAAAACTAAGTAACGTTTTTATCAATCATTACCAGAACGTACCCAGTATGTTAGTCAAATTGTGTCAAATTCATACGAATAGGGCCTCTTTTGACTTTGACGCTGTCGCTTTAACTGAAACCTGGCTTAACTTTAACGATCACATTATTGTCATGGATCATTTTATCTTACCACTTCTTTCTTGGCTACGTTACTTCAACGATTTTATCGACGGGCTTACCTTTGTCTCCCTTGTCCAAATCAATTTATAAGAAATAGTAGGGACAGACTCCTAGACCTTATGTTTGTTTGTGATGCTGCTTTAGCTACGGTCTCCAGAGTAAGTCCAGTATCACTTCCTGAAGACCACTACCATCCAACTTTAGCTATATCCCTTTAGTGTGTCCGATCCAGTTGTGCTGCCAATCCCATGGCCCCCAGCCCAATAAAGTGTTTTCGGACAACTAATTTTGCTGAGCTAAGTCTTCACCTCTCGCACGTTGACTGGTCTTTTCTCCACGCGTTACAGAACATTGACGAAACAGTCAATTCGTTCTATGACAATATTAACGACGCCCTTAATATATATGTTCCTGTTAACAAATCTGTTGCGTCAAAACCTCCCTGGTTCTCCAAGAAATTGTCTTATTTAAAGAATAGAAAAACTAGGCCATATAAAAAGTATCAGAATACTGGATCTATGTCTGTCTATGCCCAATATTCATCTGTTCGTTCTCAATTACTGTTAATAGTCTGTGCTATAATCAATGCCGTTCCCGGTGTGGTAAAAATTTCCGTAGTGATCCAAAAAAATTCTATTCGTTTGTAAATTGCAAACATAAGTCCAAAGCATTTCCTCCATCCCTTCATTATCAAAACAAACCAGAATCTTCTGCTGCTGATATTGCCACCTTTCTCCAATCAACGTTCTCGTCACATATCTACACCGATAGAAAAAAGCCCTGAAATTTTAATATTTTCACTTAGATTTTAATATTTATGCCATTGATTTTCATCCAAGAGTGGTTGTATTAAAATTGAATATTTTTCACTTAAATTTTGATATTAATATAAAAATATTTAAATTTAATATATTTCATATTTAAATTTAATATGTTTCATATTTAAATTTAATATGTTTCATATTCAAATTTAATATGTTTCATATTTAATGTTAATATGCTTCATATTTAAATTTAATATGTTTAATATTTAAATCTAATATGTTTCATATTTATATTTATATTCATTTTTAACTAATTGGTTATTATTTTGCGTACGCAAATTACATTTCAAGTCCTCATGGTGTGAATTGGTTAAAGTTTTCAACTAGAAATAATCGCAACATGAGTAGGACTGCATTGGTTGTGATTATGCCCCTGCGCTAAGATAATTTTACTGTGCATTCAAGGCAGCAGCAGCTGGAACTAGTTTGGAATTCGAGGGACATAAAAAAATAATATAAACATAGTTAAAATAAATACAAAAAATATTTGATTTCATTTAATATGGAATATTTAAAATAAAAAGTTTTTCCTTTGGATTTTAAAAGAAAAATTTTGAAATCAAGTCATAATAATATTCAATTTAAATATGAAACATATTAAACTACAAATTTAATATATTATAGTTATTTTGAAGTGTTTTGTATTTAGATTAAATATGACCGTATTAAAAAGCATTTTTAATACATTTATATTTGAATCAAAGTGAATTCTATTAAATTTTACTATGTTTGTATTTAAAAATGGCATTTTAAAGTCAAATATGATTGTAGCTATTTTTACTATGCCTTTTTTCTATCAGTGTACCACGCATTCACTCCGTATCCCTACCATTTACCTCATGCCAACAGCATTTTTCTGCCTTTCTTTGAGGAAAGTGAGGTTCTAGAAGGTTTGTCAACGATTGACATATCATTCTCGGCGGGTCCAGACAAGGTACCAAGTTGTATTTTAAAACACAGTGCGCAGTCCTTATGTAGACCCTTGATATATCTTTATAACCTATCATTGGAACGGTCTTGTCTTCCAGTCATTTGGAACGAATCCTACATCATTCAGCTTAACAAAAAGGGTTCAAACGCTCACATTGAGAACTACCGAGGTATTGCTAAGCTTTCCGCCATGCCGAAGCTGCTTGAGATCCTTGTTACAGGGCAATTGCAACACCTATCCATCGAAACACGGTTTTTTTAAACATCGATCAACATCGACAAACCTTCTCGAGTTCTCTTCTGCAATTTACCAAGGCTTTGGCTCCGTGAACAATTATCTGCTCATTCACAAGCTTTTTTAATTGGTTTCCGTCAAAAGTCAAAAGCCTTGGTAAAATGCGTGAAAATTAAGTCTGTTTGCAGTGAGCTTTGAAGTCCTCGGTTAATTGCAGAAACCATTCACAAGCTTTTTTAATTGATTTCCCCACTAATTTTCTAAACTGGATCAAGCCATATCTTTCTAACCGCACACAACGTGTTTTGTTTACTAATGTTTGGTCGAATGTCGTTAATGTTACATCAGGAGTGTCAAAAAGTAGTCATTTGGGTCCAATTCTGTTTATTTTATTTGTGAATGACTTTCCTCTAGTTCTACACTAATTTACGCTGACGATGTTAAAATCTATCTCTCCTACCCTGATTGGTACCTGCACAAACGCCTTCAACTCGACCTAAATGAGTTGCAAACAGTGTTAAAAAAATTTCCTTTTTTTGAACCTTTCTAAATGCAAACTTATGATTTTTTTCAGTCGCGCTCCACATTTTGTCTGGTACGCTCTAGGAAATCATGCCCTCGAACGAATTTCGAGCTCAAATGACCTTGGGGTTCTTTTCGATCATAGACTGTGTTTTAATAGCCATATAGCTGTAACTGTAAATAAAGCTAAGGCTGTTCTAGCGTTTATAAAGCGTTGGTCTGTACGTCTCCTTGGTTCGTCCGAACTGG